ATTTAGACTGAGCATTAGGAAGCTTTTCTTTACTGACAGGGTAGTCAAGCACTGGAACAGGCTTCCTAGAGCGGTGGTTGATGCCCCAGGCCTGTCAGTGTTTGAGGCATTTAGACAATGCCCTTAATAACATGCTTTAACTTTTGGTCAGCCCTGATGTGGTCAGGCAGTTGGATCGTTGTAGGGCCCTTCCAACTGAATAGTGTGTTCTATTATGAGGAAGCTGGACCGGTTTGCAGCCAGAGCATGTGAAAATATAATTTAATGGGAACAGAAACCCTTAGGTTTTAGGTATTTTTAAAAAATTGAAAGTTAAAGCCAGATTCAGAATATGGAAGGACCTTGAGCAGGTCAGTCAGCTCCCTTTTTTCCTTGGTGGTTTACATCCTTTGCCCTTGCGCACCCTTACCATTTAAGAGAGTTGAGATTAATTTGGTTTTGCTGTGAAAGACTTGCCAAATCAATCCATCCTAACAGCGTGTGTTTTCCAGCACATCTGCATGGCTCAACACTTGAAGAAAGAAGCTAGCAATAACAACAATATTAGAATTGGCAAGAAAGAATGATATCAAGAATGTCCTGAAGGTGGGCTCTGACCTCCCTGGCTGCTGGGGTTGGACCATGGAGAATACAGGCTTTTGTCCTTTGGGCAAGCAGCCCTGTGTTCCCCAACTCAAGTTACCCTTTGGTCTCGGTAGTTGCGCTTCCATTTGCTGTGGTTCTTAAGCTGAGGTGGCTGAGGCCAGATGAGACTTAATCCATACGAGACTGATTTCTTCCTGCCTGAGCCTAGAAACCTTTTCAACATATACTGTTGGACACTTAGGAGGAGAAATGAATTGATCTGTTCTTTAGAGGGTTATGATACCTGGAAGCAAAACGAAGGATGGCAGCAGTAGAATAGGAAGACTGGAAAACATGCATCTCCAGAGAAACAAGTGAATGATAGAGGGCTAGTAGCTATTCCTGGAAGATTATTATCTATTCTGCAGTACATCAACTAACTAAATGCAACAGCCATATCCTGCAGATAGGCTGAAGATGAAATCTGCAAGAATCCATCAGTATTACTGTCTAAGGACTTTACCTCTGTTTCAGTTCCATTCAGTACCTGTTGTATGTTCAGTTCTCAGTTTCTGTCCCACTTTCATGTCACTTGCAGCCTGGCTAATTCCCTGCCCGATGTTTCTTGGCCAGGCTTAACTCAGATTCTGAACTAAGAACAAATGGTTCAGTTGCCTCATGACTAGATCAGTCTCAAGAGTTAGAAATTATAGTTATGTAATATGGTATTATATTTGAAACAGAAAAATCCAAGCTGAAGCTGCTTAAGATTTCTTAATTAAGTTACTAAATGAAACATGAACATAAAATCCTTTGTGCAGTTTCCATGTGTGTTGATAAATGTTTGGAGCATGAGTGTGCTCGCTGTCTCTGGAACCTTCACCAGTCAGTGATTTGGCGCTAATCTAGTGTCATCTAGTGTACAAGTGTGAATGTAACCTGCGTGGGGGTGCAATATAGGGTTTGTTTTGCAGTGGTGGAGGTTTTCACTGTCCCAAGATGCACACACACTGACAATGCTCCTTAAAAGACTCTAGGATGGTATTAAGATCACTTGATAAAAAAACAGTAAGAAATAGGCTTTTATGATAATCAGGAAGTAATAGATAACATGTATAATCTAGGACAGGCTGAGAAGCAAGTCAAGAACTACAGAATTTTTGGGAGAAATTATTCTGGTTTTGTGACAGATACCAACAGATAGTAGGAAAAGCGTTAATATTGCTGTCATGTTAAAAGGAACTGCCATGTTGAACCTTTTCCTGCCAACAATTTTTCTTTTTGACTTCTGTCAAGCTGCCCTAATGAAAAACTAGTGTTAAAGAATATTACTAACAAATTGAAGTTGCCCACATTAAAATTTGCCTTTGATTAACCAAATGCTCATCAGAAGCTGGAATTTGGTAGATGGGAATCTGAACTTAATACAAATATGAAATGTGACTGCGAAGTGAAACAATTTTGCAAATCATAGCAATATTTTGTCCTTGTATGTAAAAAAAAATGTATTGATGTGAAACATCAGTCTTTCCTCACAGTTTTAAAGAATGTTGGGTAATTTAGAGATCATATGTTTTGGTTCATTTGAAATATGTAAACTTTCAGCTGTCTCCTTAATATTTATTCTCTAAATCAGATTTTTTTTTGGTAAGAATTAAAAGATATTTTAATGCTGTAGTGCATGTTTTCTAGTGGTTTGCTACTGCACCTGCATGAATGTCTTTTAAATAGCTAAATTAATGGCATGGTCAACTTTGCTTATATTCTTTTTTTTTAAATACCTTTGCTATTGTTCAGAGATGAACGGCAGCTGTGAAGAATAATGATACTTTGTCCTAAAATTTCTCCTGTGTCCTCTTTCCAACTTTCCCAATGTAGACAGACTTTGTAGCTTATAGAACATGGGCTTATTTAGTTAGAAATATCTGATTCCTGTTGCAGCCAGTTAAGGGATCAGCTTCTGACCTCTAGTGTTTTCAGTGTTGCAAGAGGAAGTTACAGCATGACTTTTCTTTGAAAAGCATGTTCACAGAAAATGACATTGCAGGGTTCCTTTTTTTGTGCTAAATGCATTTTTGTGAGTTGTCAGCTCTACAAAATCTGTGGTTCTGAAAGGAAAACTGAAACTTACTTGCCCTTCGCTAATAATGAGGATCTTGCAAGCCAGGCTTATGCTCTGCAGTCAGCTCCAACTGATTGGAGCTAGAGTCAGTTCTTCCATGAGCAAATGTACATGTCAGATTATTCTGTGATATCTGCATTAACTTTACAGCGTTATTTATGGAATAAAAAGTAACAATAAACCCACTTTAATTATATTTAAGTATGTAACTCTCAGTATGGTACACTCTATATGGTACACACTAACAACTTTCAGCTATTTGTGCAGTGCCAGACTTAAGCTAGTAAATGTTGTTGCTTCCGCTGTCAGTTTATACTGACTTAACCTGGGAATGCCTGTTTCTTGTCCTCTTGTGCACCCAGTTTGAATGTAGGCTCAGCTCTCTGTTACACATTTTTTTAAAGGGCTGTGGCACCATCTTCTATTTATAGTAAAACCTTGCTTTAGTCTTGCTTTTTGATACTGTAGTGCTTGGTTACATAGTAATTTGGAGTCCATAGAACCAGAAGCTTACATGGAAAAATCAGGGTTTCAAACCAAGGGAAAGCACTTGGACAAGGATTTCTCCCGTATATTCCTGCTATCACAAGAGATCAGGTCATTCTCATTGTCTGGAATATTACTTTCTGACAGCAATGAAGCTTTTCCTATATGCAGGTGTAAACAGCATTATCTTTAGTCTGCAGGTTATGTTGCTTCTCCAATACAAATAGTCATCCCTGTACAGAGAGAAGATGGGGTTGGGGGGGGTAACCTATTTAGGACTGGAACAATTAGTAGTGTTGTTAATATTAAGCATTTTTTTTGTGAATTTGACCCATAGGTTGCCTTGGAAACTAGGTTCAATATAGAATTATGTATTAAAGGATCTTGTGCCTCCATGTTGCAGATTCCGTGAACTAACAGTGAATATGACAATTATTTTTCAAATCATATTTTAATGCATGCCTTGCTGCAAGAAAAAAGAGTCTGAAATTAGAGAAAATGCTTTGAGACTGCCAACACTGACGGTGCTCAAGGTTGCTCCCTTCATGCAGCAGAAGGGTTTGGAAGGTGGTATATTGTTCCCCCCTTTAATGTCCTGGCACATGTTCTGTCCTGGTGTTGATATTTCAGAGGGATGTTTTAAAAGAACCTCTCCATTAAAGCTGTTTGTCTTGTATTTTGAGGAACAGTGGACACCTTTCGTTCTAAAAGGTATTTAAATTCTGTTTGCGAGTGACTTTGAACTTGTGTGTTGTTGGAATTAACTGTTTGCTTTCTTCAAGTTTAATTAAATCTTCAGCAAAATGAACTACAGGTAGAAAAAGCAGATATTCCTATTACATTTGTATTTCTGTAATATATTGGGTTTATGTGAATTACGGTCGAAGTAAAGATTTATATACAATCAGGGTGCTTCTGTCCTCTAAAGCTAGTGGCTGCTTCAGAAATTACTCAGCTGGAGAAAAACGATGTTGCTCTTGACTTACTAGTAGCGAACTGAAGACATAGGCTACCTTCTCCATCAAGGGTGGTTATCTCAGATCTGCCAAGTTTGGTTCAGTTTCCCTTTAGAGACAAGCTGAAAGTTAGTGTTGCAGGCATTCAAGCGCAGATGACACCTTCTTGAACATCTTGAAACTTAGGAGCTGCATTTGGTTGACAAATGAGGGAAATCTCATTCCTCTTCATCTCTGGCTTTTCTTACTTGCCAATTTTTCTCTGTATCTTTCACAGCATTGCTGCTAGGGGACATACCTCTCTTCACTTATGCCTTCTGAAACTCCTATACAATAAATACCACAATATTTTATGTGTTACAACTTCTTTTTAGGAGACAAAAAAGCTTGTCATATATGTTTCCCAGTGCATGTCCTACAATGCAAGGGAAGAACATGTTTTGTTTTTTTTACTTGTCACGTGGAGACAAAGGGAAATTCCTTGTTACTAAATGAAAATTTTACTGAAAATAGCGTACACTAAGCTAAGTTCCATATATTGATAGTATTCTGTAGAGATGCTTTGCTAAATTGCATATGCGGCCTCATGTGCATTGGATGTGAATTCCACCTCTGAAGCTTTGTTAATTCTTCATGCTTCTCCATAGAGTCCTGCCTGTGCTATGGTTAGTACTGAGAGGGTCAACTTGGTCTGAGCTACTGACACCCCTAGACACCTGCTGTAACTTCAGCCAGGGGAAAAGTGCTGGATGGTGTCTGTGAATAGCTTCTGTTCATGACAGAAACACGTAGGCAGTTAAAATAAGATTTTTTTTTAACATAGTACATCTGTGAATAATTTGAATAAGATTATTTTTTTTTAACAAAAACAGAAAGAAGAAGGAAAAATTCAAGGGCAGCTTAATAAATCTGATTCTAACCAGTACATCAGAGAACTGAAAGATCAGATAGCTGAGCTGCATCATGAGGTAAGTGATAAAACACTACTGTCTCTGATCCACTTGCACCTTTTGTCCTATCTTTCATTTGTAGCAGGGTTTGCTTATCTAATAGTTATTACACCTTCAGTACCTGACTTTGCCAATGTACGTGATTTTAAATGAATGCAATACAATTAACTCCTGTACATGAGTCTCGCCATTATCCTGGGATGTAAGAGAACAAAAAATTGCTTTGTTATGTGATCTGACACTAAATGAAATCAGCATTTATGTTCCGTCTTGGTTTTTTCCTTAATTTAATGAGTTTACTGCATTTGGAGCTGTGTGCATGAAAATAAACCCCTTTATGTCTTTCTTTGCTGTAGCTTTTAAGGCTAATTTAGTGAGAAACTAAACTGCATTTGTGAGAGTATAAAAGTCCATGTATAGATTTTTTCTAGTTCTTGCTGCTGTGTGAATGGATTTTACATGGTACTACACTGAGATTGCTTAAAAAGAAAAAGGATGCTTGCTTAATATCAGTTAACAGATCCTTAAGTTTTAAACTGCCAAAACCTTCAACCTATGAAATTTCTGTCTTCAAACTTCCTTGCTTTAATAGTTGTAGTAACTTTCTGTTAGTTAAAAAGATCAGAAAGTCCTGAAACCAAAATGGCTTATGTAACTACTCTGCTGGCTCATTTCAGTTCATCCTGTATTGTGAAGAAATGTCTTTACCTAATACTACGCTGCGTGTAAAATGCCCGGTCATCTTGGCGTTGTAGTCTGCTGCTGTCCCATGCGCCTTCTAATCCACAGCTCTGATAGTGCTGCTTAAAACTGTAGTATCACAGATCAACAGAACCTAATTATTTGTTTGCCTCTTTGCTTTTGGTGAACAAACACATTAAGTGCAGGTAGTGTTTTCATAACAATCTTGGTGGATTCAACCTTTTAGGACCAATCCCTTGAGAGGTATAACATAGTGGAGGATCTTGGAATGCTGTATATGCTATAGATTGAGGATAGTCTCTAGGGCCATCAGTTGAGCACCTTTACCAATCATTAAGCTCACTTAAAAACAAATTTAAAAATCAATAACCTGGCTTTTTACATTAGAGGACTATAACTAGCTTGCTTTGTTCCTTATGAGAAAGTAAGTTGCTTGTAGAATTCCCAGAAAGCCATATATTTTTGCATTAGGAATAAATAAGGCACTGCACTGACTTTTTCATCTGCTCAGCGTAGGTTTAAAAGGTGAGAAACCACTGCTTTGGAGGAAGAGTAGAATTACTGTTGGAAAGCTGTTGCCTAATTTTCTCTAGACAAGCATTTGTCATATGCCTGGCTGAGCAACCCGGTTGTCACGAAGGATACAGTTGTGTACGTGTGTAACGTGTGTAAGTTAATGTGAACAGGGTGGAATGAAGACGAGGTTTGTTAGCTCACAGAACAGCGATAATTCTGAGTAATACCAGTGATTCCCAAACAGTTAAGGCTAGACAAATCTCTATTTGCATTTCAATTTGATTGAAAGAAAATACCTAGGGAGACTGTGTATTTCAACAATAGCAGAGTTTGAATAATTCCATGTAGAAGAGTGCTCCTCTTCCAGGAAAGTGCTTTGTTGTGGCGTAATGTTGAATTTCCAAACTAGGTGAACACTATAGGAGCAACGTATCTTATTCTAGGATAGATAGAAACAGTAGGAAGAAACTCTATGGAGTAGACGTGTTCTACCTTGGCAGCATTTCTGAGTGCTTCCTTACACAGAGTTTCTTAAAGCCTGGAAGTCCTTGTTGACTAATGACTTCCCCTCCCCTTACTTTTACGTATCTATTTTTTTAAATAAAAACTTTGGAGGGAAAGCAATACTTCATCCACAATCCCTTATTTTGAACATAACCCACTGGGATGATTTTGAGACAATGTAAGGCTAAGCGTGAAATGTATGTAGCATTTATAGGCAAGTTGGTGCTAGTAAATAATAATAAAGTCTTGGATTAACATAGCTGCAAAGTAAAAACTGGTTTTGCAGTGTTCCCTGAAACAGCAAAATCTGAATAAAATGGCAATAGGAAGAGGCAAAAATGTTTGCCCTCAACTGCTAGATGTTAGGATTAGTATAATTTAGTCAATACCAATTAAATAAATCAGCTTCTTTAGATCTGCACTGAGGTGTCTTCATATATAGGTCCCTTAATGACCATGTTCATTGCTTTTTGGCTAGCTGCTTTTTGATTCTACTTCTGCAAAAGCTACAAGAAACGTTACAAATTTGCAAATTCATCTTCCTGAAGATAGGGTGATGGTGTATGTGACATGCTGACCACAACCTCCCAACTGGTTAACATGTAAAAGGCACTGGTAAAGGAACAGAGTTCTGGTGACGGCATGGCTACCATCTAATGTATTGTAATTGTGGAACTTTAAACTGGGCATAAATTAATGCCGAAGTTATGGTTCAAGGTGGGGGTGGGATGGATGTGTGTGAAACAAGATTAAATGTCTTGGCCTGGCCATTAATGTTGATTCTGCTTCTTGAACTTCTTTTTTTTCTCTCCAGTATTGCATTTTTACAGAAGTTTACATCAGAAACTGCAGCTTCTCCAAAATAATGAACAAATCCTATGTTGAATAGAAGTAACTGCAAACCAAGTCCATATTCTGGCCTTCTGATAAAGACTGTCTCATGTCTTCGGCCAGCACTCTGAATGCATGTGTTCCCCTATCAGTGGAACCTGGAGCAGCTAGATACTTGAATTGTCCTGTGATACCATCTGTCAAATGGCGATGGTACCAAGATGGGGCAACGCACAATCCACCCTCATTGCAGAGTCCCAGTGAGAGATCTGCTGTTCCATCAGGGTTTGCAAGCCGGGCCAGTAGCCAGGGACAGGGCAAACTTGGACCACCAGTAAGGAACACCAGAGAAAGGCAAAGAGGGGGGTCACTGTTACTGCCCAGGGTCTAAAGCTGAATCCTCTCCACTAAAAAGGGGCGTGGGGTGTGTACTACAGCACAGGGGCAACAGGCTGCTGCTGTGACACCTCGTGGCTTTGTAGCGGGAGAAAGTTTTTGACCCTTAGATTTCAGGTATTTCACCCATTCCAGTGTGGTAACTTAAATCAGCTACGTATCGGAACTCTGCAAATAATTTCAGATTATCAATTTTATTTTTTAAAAAGTTTTTGACAGATACTTTTAAAAACTTCCAACTGTTTGCCCCTTGTTGTGATCTGAGTCCGTTGATTAATTTTGGGCTTTTTCTGAGCTCGAAATTCTGCATGCATCTTAAATGTGGTGCAGCTTGCAGCCCAAAGGATAAATTTCAGCTGCTTTTATTACTCATCTAGTAACAGTAACACTATAATCAGTCTTCAGGTCATGTTATGAGAAGACTTATTTGTAGTAAATACAAGTTGTTGAGTTTCTGTTACTGAGTAAAACTGCACATACTGGAAATTGGTAGTACGGCATCCAAAACTGAATCCAATGAGGCACATTGCTATCAAATGTACAAAGTAAATTAAATAGAAAAAGATGATGCCTTTTTTCTTGCCTTTCAAATAAGGTATAATAACTATAAATGGAATTGATACATTAGATTAGATTAGATTTTTGGTTTGTTCTAACGAGATACCTGCCTGATTCTTTTTATACCCAACCAGCGGATTTCTGTAGCACGGTAAGCTGAATTGTACATTGACTGCTTCACAGTAGGTATTAACCTTGTATTTGATGAAGACTTCAGGCGAGCAAACATTCAAAATCTGGAGCTTTGGGAACTTTGTAACAAGTCTTGTGTTGTAGAATTCTGCTCTGTGCACACCATCATAGATTACTCACGTGCAGCTTTCTTTGCACTAATGTGAGTGACCAAATGTGGGTTAGAATCAAAATACTGAACACAATTTATATTACTATGTAAAATGCTGAATTCATACATAAATTCCTCTGTGCAGCCGTAACTTCATTCTGAGTTCATGAAGATCAGTTATTATTATAACTGATTATTTAACTTTAGTAAATATGTCAGTCATTTCTATGTTCATTTCCTAGAAAGTTCCTGACAGCTATCCTTTAATCTTTTGCACAACCTATCAACATTTGAAGGCCAGCTGGTGCATAATGAAAGAACACTCACAGACTGCAGTATTTCTAGTTGGCCAATAGCTAGTTCTGTGAAAAGTTGTGTGTATTTAGTGTCAGATTAGTGCTTCACTTCCTTTCCTCCTTATTGGCGGAGTTGCTTTATTTGGCACAAAGTTGTTAGATGCTTATGCCTTTATTGTTGAAGGCTGAAACTAGTGTGAAAACCTGAAATTTTGAGGATTGTCACAAACAGGAAGTCATGACACAAACTTTTTTCAGAGCTTTTAATATGCACTAGCCTTAAGCGCTTGGTTGCCTTTTCAGAAGCTTGTGTTCCATTGCCACTTGTTCTGTTCATTAACTGAAATCTTTCCACCTAGCATTTTCTTTCTTCCTCCGTTTTCCTTCCGTTCTTAAAGCTACCTCTACAGCATTGATGACTACTTCTAGCTTAGTAGGATTTTACCCTAAAACACTTTTCCATTGTGCAGCCCGGACAGGCTGCAGCTTCTGTGAAGCAACTGTGTTACTCTGGTCAGTAAGTACACAAGGGAAGTAAGGTCTGGTGAGCGTTTTACTCTGTCACTTGACCTTACAGTCAATGTGCTTTAACTGCTGTAACATAACTGGCATGATACAGAGCCCGCTGCAGGATTTGTACTGTGGGTTACATCGTCTGAGGCTGCACAAGGAGTGCCAGTACTTCACAGAAGGTGCCTTGGATTAGACACTGAGATGTTAAGTGAAAGCAGCTTTTGGGAAACATTTTTACTATTCAAGAGAGTATCCCACTTCAGTAGGTAGTACTGAAGTAAGGCAGTTACAGTATGTGGAAAATAATACATTGAAAGTTTGGACTGTTACGAGTTTCCATTAAGTAAAGTTGAAGGTTTAAGAAAAACTAAGATAAATCTTGAACTAGTTGTTACTCATTTCAATGAAAATGACATACT